TTTTGTTTACCTCTTTTATTTTGGGACCTTATAATAATTTAAAATTTTTACTAAATCAAATATGTATTGTTCTATGTATTTTTCATCTTTACTGTTTAAAACTGTAAAAATAAAAAGTTTTAGTTGATCTAGGATTTAAAAATACTAGCTTTGAGGCATATATTCTAGACTTTCTGTGTATTTGCTTTGTACACATGAGTGTACACACAAACCCATAGTCATGAATGTAGAAGAAGGAACACTGGAACTGCTTCTAGCTGTGACCTTTAGTCTCATCTTGTGCATTTTTGAAATGAAGATGTGGTGTGGCACGTTGCCTGTTGTCAGTACTGTGTCCATGAATCACAGTAAGAAATAAAATTTAAGTTACAATCTAGAACATCTGCACACACACATGGTACAGATTGTGAGGGCCTGGTGTGTGTCACACTTCTTTTGTAGCACTTAAGGAGGAAGCTCTTGTGTTCAAGGCTAGCCTGGGCTATATAGTGAAAAATAGATAACATTGATTATGCCTTAATGCTTAAGACCAGAAATATTTTGGATTTCAGATTTTGAAGTTTTCCAGTCTTTGAAATATTTGCACATACATAAGAGATACCTTGGGATTGGCACTCAAATGTAAAGATGAAATTAATTTGTTCCATATATATCTTACACATATAACTTGCAGGTCATTTTGTATAATATTTTAAAAGTTGTTTTGATTGTGATAAGTCACATGAGGGTAGGTGTGGAATTTTGCACTTGGTGGCATCATGTTGGGCTCAGAAAGTTCAGGCTTTTGGAGCATTTTGAATTGAGTTTTAGATTAGGTATGTTGTGTATACAGACATAATAACTACTTTTTGTATATCATGCCATATTATGCAATGCCAGATCATTAAAAACAGCCTCTATGCAATTCACTAAATTGCTTTTATTACCCATGAAGGGATGTTATGGTTTGAGAAACATTGGTCTAGTGGATCTTCAGTTGAACACTCAGATGTCTTTTGAGGCTGGCCAGATAACAGATTCAGTTATCTTATCACTTTAGTTAATCAGAGCTGCTGGATTCTATCTAAAGGAATTCAAATTAAAATGAAACCAAAGCTGTTAAGTCAACAAACACTTTCAGATGAAAGTCAGCCTTCTACTTTGGACCTGTGGCCTTGTCTAGGGAAAAAAACAAAAAACCTAAGTACATAAAATACAAGCCCATTAACTCTGTCAAATTGCTATGAAATGTTTCAAACAATTCATATTCAGACAGTGGAACTTTGAGAAACATGGGTCTTCCTTGCTGATGTTTGCGTATTTTCCAGGTCTCTTCCTCTTCTGAAATTCTTTGGCTTTTTGACAAATTCCAGCCATGAAAATTAGGACATAAAATAGCCTCACTTCAGTTTTTCTGATTTCATGAGAAATGGTGCCTGTGATAGATCTGAGAAAAGAAATGGGAAAGAGATTATTCTAAGTGTTTGAGTTACTCTAAGGCAGATTAAAAGGGAAAGTGAACTTTATTCTTTCCATATCTAGCTAAAGGGATGATGTGATTTCCCAAGAACTGTGTTTCCAAACAGAATATGGTGATGAAAAATTCAGTGTCATTGAAAAAAAATGCAACAGCATTTGGGTACCTACTGAATCTTGTGCTTCTTGGTGTGCATACCCAAAATTATTTTTATGACCTTATTTTCTAGTTTTAGGGGCAAAACTCTGTACCGCCACGAGAGATTCTGTGATGTAAGCCATTAAGGCTCACTTTGGTGACTTCGACAATTTCAATATAACCATGGAGCCATTAGGCTCCAGATGGAACTTTAATCTGGCTTCTGATTGAGCAGCGTGTCTTTGCAGAGTCTCTAAGCATCTGTTTTGGAAATATATATGACATTACTCAAGATCTGTACAAATTAACCTACCCTTGGGTTACAATTCAATTTTTCTTTATCCAGAAATGTATTACAGCTTTATGCAATCAAGTAAAACTAGCCTAACTTCATTATTTATTTGCCTGTTAACTGGCCAATTATATTTTTGTGATTGATTTCTTAATGACCTTAAGAATGTTTACATTAGACTTCTAAAGATTTTAATTTGTTATAAAATATGAAGAGTTGTTTCCTAATTTCAAGTAGCTTTTACAAAGATACTTACTTTTGAATGAATATTTAAAATTATGGTGGTTTTTTCTTTGAATAATAGAACCCCCCAAATAATCTGCCTTATTTATTCTAGAGTGAAGTTTATTTTCTCCCATACAAGACCAAAGGGGAGGTGTTAGGACTTGGTCTTTAAATACTGTAAGAGCCGGATCTTTCTCTGTCTTCATTCTAGTTTCTCTCCTATTTACAGGATGCAGCTGGACAGTAAACATCCTTTAGTTCTAGCAGAAAAACAAGAAGTTCTCTCCTTATCGCAGACTGAAATTTCTTTTCAGCAGCTTTCTTTTCCTCATTTATTCGCCTATGTCCACCTTAGACCAGTAACAATCACTATATGCTATTTGGTTTAATTTAGTCTGGGTTTTTTAACCAATTACCGGCAGGAAAGATGGATGGGATTATATCATTTAATGGTTTAGAACCAGTCCTGGACCTGGTGAAAGTCTAGGAGAGACTGAGTAATGAGAAGGGAAGGTAGAAGTGGACTTTGGATATACAAAGAATGGAAAATCTCTATTGCAACTATTACAAAATTTTGAATCCATTCCTTGATTTAGGTTTTAGTTTTTCTCTTCATGCACTTTTATTAGCCTGTGGCTTTTAATTAATTATTCTTCTGTTATGGAACACAGAAATTAAAATTATATTTTGGAGAGAAATATTAGATACTTTATAGTTCCTTCGGCTTTTCTTATTATGTTGATACTGGAAAAATTATAAATAACTACCTGGCATAGGTAAGTGTAAGGAGATTGTATCACTAAGTAAATATTAGTACATTTTCTGAGAAAAAATATCAATTTATTTTTTCCTCACAGAAGGAAGAACAAGTCTATGGACCCAGAGTCCTCAGCTGCCTGCCCTGTCATATATAGCTGAGCCTTTTTGTTAAAAAAAAAAAAAAAAAATTGAAGTACAAATTTATATATGTGGGATGCTCAATTATTAACTGGAAATGAAGAGTTCTAAATTCACGGCAGAAAGATCTTATCTAGGATTTAAGTTAGGAAAGAGTAAAAATGCTAGTATGTAAGAGAAGAACCTTCTTAAAGAGTACTGGCACAACTGTACATTTCAGGCTTGGATCGTGTGTCCCTATCTGGTATTTACATGCAGGTTTTCCTAAAGGGGGTACAAGGCTGTGTTTTCCTGCCAATTCATCTACTGTTTTTAAATTTCTTTATGTAACAAGTATGCACTATTGCAAATATCACTAATGTGGAATTTGTGATAAATTGATTAAAGGTAGTTTTAAACTATAATTAGTTTATTAAGCAGCTAGCAGAATGAACAAAGAATCTGTCTTTTTAAGGGTGAAAAAAACCGAAGGCATTCTAGATTTCTTCCTCTACACCTTGGCCTCTTCTCTTTGAACTTCGCTTTTTTCATGTGAGCACATAGATACACTTACTCTATTTTTAGAGCTGCATAGTATTCCAAAGTGGGGACCATAAAGGGTATAATCTCAAAATCTTTTTCAATAGTAGATTTTATCTTGTTAATGTTCTTGTGAAAAGTTCCCCTCCCTTCCTCTGCAATGGCTATTCTCAGTCATAACAGAGAACATTTACTTCCTAAGGATGAATGACTGAATTTTGCATGTGTCTTTTAAAATTCTATCTTCTAAATTCTGATATACTTTCCTGGTTGAAGATTTCTCTTGTTACTGTCTCATGTATTAGAGTAGGCAAAGTTTGTAAATTCTGTAATAATCTGACCTGTGATTTAGTAATTTTGAACATCTTGAGTTTTCCTTGATTTGGAATCTTCTGTTTTTCATTGGCTTTTTTTTTTTTCTTTCTTTAAGTGCTGTTGTTTGAACTCAGGGCCAACACCTTGAGTCACTCCACCAGCCCATTTTTTGTGATGGGATTTTTTTGTGGTGGGATTTTTTGAGATAGGGTCTTGCAAACTATTTGCTTGGGCTGGCTTTGAACCGTGATCCTCCAGATCTCTGCCTCCTGAGTAGGATTACAGGAACAACCCACCCGTGCCTGGCCATTGGCATGTATTTTATTTTTAAACTGTGCCTTTAATATTCTCTTTGTCTTTTCCTGTTCATCTTGAAGCTTTACCCCATGAGATTTTCCTTGTTCTTGACTGCTGGGCTGGTTAGTAAGAGTACTTATAACTTCTAAACTTAACTCTCTTATAGGAGACTTTTGAGCTGTTGAGGACTGTGGGACTATCTCTTTGTATTTTTTAGCATGTAGACAGTCTAATGTGTACAGTACTATACATAGGAAATCATGAATGGCTGTTAGTGGAATAATTATACATATCTAAGTTTTTAAAATATTTTTGCAGAAAATAGATTTTTCGTTACTAGCAAATAGGAGTTGCAGAAAGGTTTTAAGGGGAAGAAGATAGTTTTTAAGTTTAAAATCTACATATGGAAGAACAGATATAGAGAGGCAGTCTCTAAAGAAGCAAATAATTGATGAACTTAAAATCTCGGCCATGTACTTGACTGACTGTATTGATGCAAGTAAAGAAAGACTATGCCCATTAAGAATAGGGAGTGGATTGGTTCTGCCATCTTTCTTAAAAGAGAAGACCCCAAGGTTGAAGTTGGTAGTTCTTAGCCCAGAGTTTATTAGAAAAATTTTAATACTCTCTTTTTTTTTTTTCTCTATAGAAATAGTTTCGGGGAGTTGCAGGCATATACACCAGATTTTCTTTGTGGGCAGATAGACTTGAGCAGACAGGGTTCACATTTTGGCTATGTTATTTGGTAGATGTATATACTTAAGCCAGCTTCTTACTAGAATTTCTAACCAGTGTTGTTGAAGGCCAGACCTGCAACCTGTTACTTATGGTAATCATTGCCTTCCTTTCATCTCATTCCAGCAGCACTGTGAGCCCTGGTGCTTGAACTGTTTTCCTGTTTGAGAAAGTATTTCTGTACGTATATATCTGTATATTTGATGGTAACTAAAATATTCAGTTCATCCTTTTCTATTGGAAAAATGTGTGAATATATCTAAATTCAGCACACAATATAGGCTCATTTAAATATTGGACTGTGCTCCTTGAGAGTAGTATCTGGTTCTTCTTTGTTTTACTTGGAATTGTGTTTGCAGAGGGTGTTGGTGTTCAGGTTTAAAAAAAAGGTGTATGTAGCAGGAAGATGAGTGGGGTTCAGATGCAAATCTGAGAATAGGGCTTGATTTTAAGATTATAGGAAGAAGTTTTGGTTTTAAGGCAGTGTATCAAGACAAACCTTAACTTTACTTTTTCTTTCTGGCTACCAACAGGTGTTTCTGTTTTTATATCACTTTGACTTGCGTTGTTACTTTCTTGCTGCAGCAACCAAAATAGAAGGCAGTTTTCTCCAGAGACGATTAATTCAAAAAGACAATTAATTCAGATTGTTTGAGAGACATAGAGAATCTGAAGTAGCCCATTCCTTTAAGCCAGATGAGGAAGGACCTAAGGTTACTGATGAGTATAAGGTTGGTACCCATACTCTGTTCATCATTATAGTGTGGTATAGAACTGGGCGGTCATGCTGCACAGGCTAGGTTGAACCCTAGAGGGGGGATTGTGACTGTCAGTTTCAGTAAAATATACTGAATGGCTTCCTTCAATCTGAGTGGTGCTGCAGGAGAGGCTGCTGCATGAATGCAGGAGAACACTTACCTTTGCTGCTTAGTAGCTGTGCTAGTTTGCTAGGGCTGCTGTAACACAGCACCACAGATGGTATGACTTCAGAATAGAAATTTATTCTTTTATGGTTCTGGGCTCTGGAAGTCTAAAATCAAGGTGTTAGCAGGGTTCATTCCTTCTGAGACTGATTGTGTGTGGTTCTTAAACCTTCATTATTTAAATGTCTCAGTCTTCTCCAGAATTAGCAAATGTAATAAAGATGATTTCTCTCAGTTTTAACATTATAGTTATGTACAGTATTTTGGTGCCAGTATGTTAAGTATGATTAATAAAATTGGAAAGTTTACAGAATTTGTGTTGGTGGATTGCATTTTAAAAGTTGATTCTTTCGGTCAGCATATGTATTTTCAAGAGAATTATTTTTGATAGAATGGTGCCTCCTTCATACTGGCATCATAACAAAGAATCCTGCGTCCAAACACACTGATTTATGTTAATTACATATGAAACTCTCTTTTTTAATCTTTTTATTATAATGAGTCTAAAGGGGTTATAGATTTAAAGTAAAATTAAAGTTGATTAAGTTATCAAATGGAATTTTCAGTGTTATTCTAATCATTCTGATAAAATAAATGTGCTTTCCTCATTTAATGTTAAATTTAAAATGTAGTTGAAATCTATAGGAATTATAACAGTATTTTGTTTTAATTTTTCTCTTTGGCTTTGCTTGTTTTAATTTTGAAGACTTCTGTTGAAAATGTCAGTCCTAGTTTAAATTCTGTTTAAACTGTTTTCTGATATTTAATTACCCAGAGTCGATTCAGGAATCTATCCCCTCATTCCAAAATGAATGTGTATGTTTTAAGCAGATTCAGGTTTTGTGAATTAATTTTTGTCACTAGGATAACCCTTTTACTTATTTAATTTATTTCAGGATTTTCCTAATACGTATGTTCATGAAGTAAGTTAAAATTTGTTGCGAGGTCTCATTCCTCCCTTCTTTTCTTTCTTTTTTTTACTTTTTATTTTGAAATAATTTTAGTTGCAGGAATAATGCTCTTCACTCAACTTTTCCTAATGTTAGCATCTTAATATAAGCATGATCTAATTTCTATAATTAAGAAATTAATATTGTCACAGTATTATTTAACTACATTATAGACTTTACTCATATTTTTCCCTTTTTTTTCATAACTCCTTTTTTGTTTGTTTGTTTCAAAATGCAGTCTAGGAGCTTACATTCCATTTAGTTACCATGTCATTTTAGTCCCCCCCTATACTTCTTCAGTCTTTTCTTGTCTTGCATGATTTGAGACTTTCAGAAAATACTGGTTGGTTATGTTGTAGAATGTTCCTCTAGACAATCTGGGCTTGTCTAGTGTTTTCTCATGATCAGACTGAGGTTACCATTATTCAGAAAAGATTCTACAGAGGTACTCAGAGTATCATACCAGTGATCTATGATGTCTTATTATTGGTGTTGTGGTGACTTTATTTTAATTTTATTCATCTAAATGAGAGTCACATAACTAAATTAACAGTTCACTGGCATTTGGTACATTTGCAGTGTTATACAACCTGCCACCTCTAGCTAGTTCTCAAACACTTTCAAAAGAGACTTGTACCCACTAATTACTAGATTACCCTCACTGCACCTGTGTTCTGACTTCTGCAGATTTACTTGTTCTAAATATTTCAAATAAGTGGATCATATAGTATGTCAGAGTTTTTTCACTTAAGCACAGTGTTTTCAAGGTTCATCCACATTTCCTTTTATGGCTGTATATACTACAGTTTATCCATTTATTCCTTGATGGATATCTGGGCTGTTTTTATCTTTTGAAAAGTACAACAATGAACATGTATGTACATTTATTTGTTAAATTGCTGGGTCATGTAGTAATTCTAACAAATCTTCTGATTCAGGTAGTTTTTAAATTCTTCTGGCCTTCATTTTAATGAAAAAATTTAATTCTGTTACAGAATAATCATGGTGTCCCAAAAAAGTAGGGTAAAGATGTTTTTTCTTTGTACATTTTAAATGTCAGGTGAGCTGAGTTGTGTTTTAAACACTAGAAATATTTGTTATTTTAATTAAGCTATTTTTTTTCTGGACTTGATTGTTGACAGACTGTGTCTGCCTTTGCATTTATAATAGTAGGACATGGTGCTAGAGTCATCAGTTGTTTTTTCTTCTCTCTCTCTCTTTTGTGTGTTATTAGTTGATGCTGTATTGCTTTATCCTTATTTTGGATAGTTTATCTCCCAACATATAGAAATGTACTTTTTAAAGGAAACTTGTATAATAAATACAGGCGAACAGTCAAGGGAAGCTTTTTATAGTATTAATATATATGGTCATTTAGTTTTGAACCTTTCTTTATAATGATTAATTTTTCTGTGATAACTAAATATGATGTAGTATTGATTTTTTTAAAAAATAAGAGAACAGATGGAAAATACAATTGTACTAGAAACTTGTGATAAGATTGCAAATGAAAATAGTAAGTCCTCTAGTTAAGAATGAATTGGGTTTATAAAGGTGGTTCTTCAGTTTTCTTTAATCTTGAGAGTATAGGAAATCTGTGTGTAGGTCTTGAATATGTTCTTACCAAAACGGTTCTTACGTGGTTTAAAATCAAGCCTTTGGTCTTGAGTCATCTTACTCCAAAAAGATGAGTTACTAATATGCTGAAACCTTGTTGACTCAGGAAACCTCCTTTTCCCATGTGAGTAGAGGTGCTTGCAGACCTTTGATTCTCCTTGTTGCATTCTCATTTTGAGACTTTGATGCAAAATCAGTGTGAGAATCTCTACTTTTGCATTTTCTCTTGCTTGGGCTGTAAGTTCTGGAGCAAAGCTCCTAGCCTTTTCCTGACCTAGCAGCAGATACCTGATAATGACAGTAGATCCCATAACCCAATGGCCTCTGCTGGGATGGGGAGGGAGGAAAATTCAGAATTTTTATGGGCAAGAGTAAATTAATGGACAAAATTTAAAGCTTCAGAAACTTTGTTTCTGATAGCAGTTCTGAAAAAATCAGGCATTGCTGTGAAAACCTAGACTGATACAGTTTTGATATGTGACTTAGGATGCACTGCTGGAAAACAAGTGGTGGCATGTGTCTCTCTAGACTTGTATCACCCCATTTCTAGTGTGTAACTAAGAAAACACATTGAACTTTCTTAATAGTTTCTGCTCCTTAGCCTCAGTTTTTTCCTCTACTTTTCCCTCTTGCTGGAGATTTCTGGTAGTTAATTTTCCAGTGGTTTTCAGTGTCATTTGCTTCAGAAGGTGTGCCACAGATTGTTGTTGAGATTTTGGTAGCTGGATTGACTGAGTTAAATATTGGGTCCCATAGACAGAACTTAAAATAGCTACATTCTGGGGTGCTCATTGATGAGAAAGCCATGTACTTATAAATGTTTCGTTGTTGTTTGTAAACTCATTTTTTTTATTTTCCTAAAGGCAGAAATTATTGCTAATTTTTTGAGTGTTATGTATTTCAAAATTTTTTTTAAAATTAGGGTTCCATTCATAGCACAAGCGGGATTTCACTGTTGCAAACTTGCATGGATGCTACAGTTGTACTTTGAATAATCTACCCTCTTCCTTTTCAGAGTATCTGGTGGGTTTCATTATGCTGTCTTCATACAACACACACACACTACACACACACACACACACACACACACACACACATTTATTTATTCAATCCTTGTTCACTCACAGTGATACCCTCTCCTTCCCCCCTTGCCTTCCCACTGATCCCCTATGTCCTACTTATTATTTTATTGTTTTCATTTAGACCTAGATTTTTGGTATGAGTTTAAAGACATGATGGTTTTGACCTTAGCTTTATTTCACTCAATGTGATATCAGTTTAACCATTTTCCTGTAAACAACATTATTTTGTTCTTCTTTATGACTGAAATAATACTCTACTTATCTGTTTCTAAGCTACCATCCATCATCCATCTATCTATCTATCTTTGATCCACATTTTCCGTTATCCATTCACATTGTGGGCATATACGCTGATTTCCACGCTTGGCCATTGTTAGTAGTGCTGTGATAAGCATGGGTGTCTTTCCTGTATATTTGAGTTACACTCTTGTATTTTATGCCATTGAATCGTTATGCAGTTTATTAAGGTAGGTCGCATGTTTTTAGCTTTTGATTGAGTCTTCATATTTAGAGAGTAG